TTCTGAGATAAGAGTCCAAGCACAAACATCTGACAATTTTAAAGCAATCTGTAGAATGAGGTTAAGTACATTTAAATTCATAAGGAATTAACATTTTGAAATAAGATTCATGTAGAAAACTCAAATTTCAAGAATAGCCAAATCCCACAAAAGAACCAAAGTTTTCATGCTAGAAAGAGACCAAGATTAGTGCCTCTAATTTGTACACATTAATCTGATAGTGGCGGGTATAAAGTTTCATTTCTAGGATCAAGACTGTATTAGCTCATAACAGGACAAGTTTCATAACTTATTTGGCATCTACATTGTTAGATGTTAGTTACCCAACTTTTCTTATACATTTAATGCTATGATGTATAAAGCTGAGAAACTGATGACTACTCTAAGCCCATTATTTTAGAATCTTTCTTAGGACAAAGATCAACATCCTTAAATAGCTTACAAGGCTCTACATTATCTGGCCAAGGCCATGTGCTCTAGCCTCATCTATTGCCACTCTCCCTGTCAGCTACTCCAGCCTCAAATGACATGTGTATAATGTTCCCTTTATCTAGAATCAGTTATCTGCTCATCCTCTTGCCCCATTTTATTCCTATATCATCTTTCAAATCTCAGTTCATTTTTTTCAGAAAAGCTGTCCTGGACCATCAATATTCCCAAAGCCAACATCTCAAATAAGAGCTGGTTCTCCTGCTCTATACACACATAGTTTCCCTATACTTTAAATTCCCAGCACTTATTTCATATTTATTATACAATTATTTATTTTCCCCTTAAATGCCAATAAAGGATGGATCTTCATCTGTTTTGCTCAGCATTATATCCCCTGAAAAAAAAACAAACCTCTGGGACTTAGTGACTGGGACATGGTACCCTAAGAAAATAGGAATCCAAGAAAAAATTGATCCAGGCCTTGTAATAGTGCAAAAAGATGCTTAGAAAAGATATATTTCTAATTCTAAAGCCTAGGTTGTAATAACTACAAAAAGTAATGCAAGACATTTACCTTATTAACCCACTAAAAAGAGGCTGAAAAATATCCTTAGTAAAAGTTGAAGTTCAGGTATCTTTCGAGGAGACATTCTGCTTCTCATTTGGACCCAGGAAATACTTTTGGAAGGCAATTCCAATTTGGAAATCTTTTCATGCTGACCTTTCTTCAGTTAGTGGAGATGCACTTAGAAGTTAGGAGTTTTGACTAGTAATTCCAAAACTGGCAGAATTAACATAAGAGACCCTTGGGGATCTTGCTAGGATAGAAAACTACATAAACACCAAAGATTTATTCCAATAAGCCATAGTACTTGGTCAAAAACCAAAATACATAACAAGAACCCACAATAAATCAAAGTGCCAGAAACAAGAGCTAGAGAGGATGATATAAGGTATTCTAAAAATAAAACAAAGATGTTTTAAATATGATCACACCAAAAAACCAAGAGGAAACATCAGTAAAAACTTGGGAGATTGAAGGTAAGACCATTATACATTTCTAGAATTTCCTTATTGCTGTGGATTTTTCAGAAGCCATTTTTCAGGGGGTGGGGGTGGGGGTGGAGGTGGGTGGTGGACAAAGAATCTTCATAGATGGTAGGAGGCTTGAGTTTTAAGGTTACAGATGACAATTCTAGTCTACTATCATGAACATCTTAAAAGTAAAAATTATGGGCCGGCCAGTGTGGCTCAGTGGATTGAGCGTTGTCCCATGGACTGAGAAGTCCTAGTTCAATTCATGGTCAGGGCACATGCCCCAATTGTGGGCTCAATCCCAGTAGGGGTTATGTAGGAGGCAACTGATAGATGTTTCTCTCACACACTGATGTTTCTATCCCTCTCTCTCTATAAAATAAATAAAAACATAAAAAACTATGAAATGTCCATATATTTTTTTTCTATTGCTCCTTCCCCTAATAAGTTTCTGTAATTATCGGTGACTAGAAAGACAGCTGTAAAAACTACATAAAAAATCCTAGAACACCATGTTCTTTTTCCACAGATAATGCTGGGAATTTGGTTTGGTTTATAAGTCACTATAAATGTCATAAATAGGTCAGGCATTTGATTATTCTAACTTCTGGGCTGTAGTACTATGGTATTTTTGTGTATCCTGATATTCCTCTAGAACTTTGGAGCTTTTTTATGTATCCAGACATTCCCCTAAAACGTTGGAGCATGAAAAACACTGGGTTTTGGAGTGGAGCTATTACAACTTTGAGAGGGCTGAAAGAACATAAGCTAGAGTAGAAGACTCCCAGACTACAGTTGTTGAATGAAACCAGGATCCAATTAAACTGAACAAGATTTCTACATATGAAATGGTACAGAAAAAGATATTTTTTGTTTATGATTTAAGATTTTAACTAGTAGTAATTAATGTCATGGAACAACAAAGATTTATTTTGTTCTCTTGGGAGAGAATGTGACTAATGATTTTACAAGCAAAGTTTTATAGTGCTGACATTACATATTGGTGTCTAGGAAACTTCTTATAATCCTATGTGATAAGTTTAGTAAACAATAGGATTATGCATAATTTGAAATGAGAAATACACTGAAGTCGTTTAATAATAATATCAGACTTTGGAGGTAAACGTAAAATAAAAGAATTTCCCAATTTGTTTTAGTGATTCTGGGAACACCACTGAGACATTCATATCGATCACATTAACTCAATACCTCCTTGGCCAAAATTTAGTGCCTTGCTGGTATTAAGCATGGTCAGCTACAATACAGAACTAGGTTTTTTTTTTATTTATTTTATTTTTATCCTCACCCGAGGACATTTTTCCATTTTTTGTTCAGGTAGAGTGGGAGGGAGAGAAAGGAACAGAGAGAGAGAGAGAAACATCAACGTGAAAGAGACACATCGAGTGGCTGCCACCCGCACGACCGACCAGGGCCGGGGACAAACTGCAACCGAGGTACGTGCCCTTAGCAGGAACCGAACCCAGGTCTCTCTGGAGCGCAGGCCGACGTTCTAACCGCTGAGCCAAACCGGCCAGGGCCAGAACTAGGTTTTAAAAAATAAAATATCTTGGGTACTTAAATGTCCAACTCACTGATCCCAGCTGGATCTTAATGATTTAAAAACTTTTTTTTTCAAAATTATAAGCAGGAATTCTATGCAAATCTCTGATGTTTCTATGAGTTGGTTAACAATATCCATTACATTACTGGTCTAGCTAATGAATCCACTGGGTCAAATGGAACAAAATTATTGAGAGTGATTTTTCAGAAAAAATTGACCAGTATGTTCTATCTCCCTCACAACACACCCTCTCTAAGGCAAGATCTGTAATATTTATCAAAGACAATGTCACAAAGAATAGTAGGATTTCACAGTGATGAAAGCAGAACCTGGATAAGGAAGATGAAGAAAAGGGTTAAATTTTCTTCTTCGGGGTTCATTCTTCCTTCTCACATGAACCCTGAAAGACCTGGAGGGAAAACTACGAAGGTGTTCAAGAGAAAAGCAGCAGGGAGGTACAGAACACAGTTTACACTTAAGTAAAAAAGGCCCTGAAGATCTCAAGAGCTTTGTCCAGGGTAAGTGACCAGACAAAAATCTGGAATAAAAATTCAAGCAAAGAATAGAGGGTGCATGCACTAGGACTATTCTCAGTCCTGTGTTATAAGGTACTCCTTAAACAGGAATAGATTAAGTAAAGATCTGTGATCTCAGCTTCTAGAACAGACTATCAAAGCTTATTAACAAGTCAGGATTGCCTAGATACAGAAACAAAAATTACACTTTGGTCCTACAAGATTTCAGGATATAAAATTTTAAAACATGCCCTGGCTGGTTTGGCCCAGCAGTTAGAGCGTCGGCCCGCAGACCAGGGAGTCCCAGGTTCAGTTCCCACTAAGGGCACATACCTCGGTTGCAGGTCGTCCCTGGCCTCAGTTCGGGTTGTGTGGGTGGCAACCAATCGATGTGTCCCTCTCACATCAACGTTTCTCTCTCTCTCTCTCTCTCTCCCCAAAATAAATAAAATAAAATTTTAAAATTGATTTTCAATTCAAGTAGCAAAATAACCTAATTCAAAAGCCAAACTTTAAATATAAACATCTGCAAAAATGACATCTTAAACCAGTCATTAAAATGAAAAACCGTACATAAAGCATCATTAAGTTAGTGTTAAAAATTCAAAAGAAAAAGAAAAATCCACTGTGGCAATTTTTTCAACTCAATTAAAAATCAAGTATCTTTAGCTTTGCATTCTCCCTAAAAGTAGTCAGTGAATAAATGCCACCTAAGTTCCTGTTTCTCTTTAGAATATTCAACTTTCTTTAGTTTACATATCAAAGAATAGAAGAATACTGTCTAGGAATGGAAGCATACCATCTGTTTAGCCTAGGCAGATATTAGACTAATTAGGACATTCAGGGAATTAGTTCTGGGTATCACATTTGAAAACATACTATAAGTAGATCTGCCCAAAGGGACAAATTTATGAAGCTTCCATGTGATAAACATATTTCAAATACAAAGTAAACTTAGGAATATTTTGCCTGAATGATGTAAATAACGGGAAAGACAAAATGGGGGTGTGTGTGGGGGGTCCTCTCTCAGATTTGAAGATGATTACTTAGTAGATATGATGTTGTGAAACACCTGGCACAGCACCTAGCACATAGTAAATTCCATAAATAGGAGTCTCCATCCCTCTTTAGATGAGGTAGTAAGATTAACACCAACTGCAGAAATTACAGAAACTTGGATTCAAAATTTAAGAAACTACAATGAGACAATAATGAACACAACTGCCTTAGAAAACAGTGATTTCTCAGCATTGGAGGTATTCGAGACGAGGCTTAAGGATTCTCTGCTAGGGATGGTATAGAGGAAATAATTCCTGAGTTGTGTAAGAGTTTGGAACAAGTGACCTTTAAGATTCCTTCTAACTTATAATATTGAGGTGATCACTAGGAAAATGATCACTAACATTTTCCTATTTCCTCAAGTATGTCACTTAATGTACACTGATAGGTTATCTTACCTATGAGATTCTTGCTCTCCTTTCATTTTCTCTACTTTTGATAACATATCATCAACTTTAAATGTTTTCCTGGAAGAAACAGATAAACAAAATAATCACTTCTCAACTGGGAAAAACAAACAGATTACACTTTATTGTCACTATAATAGGCAAGTTGAAAATCTGATTTTATTATTTCTAATAAGATAAATTATGGATTGTTAGCCATAACAATGAATACTACTGAGACAGTATATGTTATAATACAGCTGATAAGCCTTCAAGTACCACCTCAAATGCAAATTTTTCCATGAAAACTTTTGTAATTATTCCCAAACAAGAGTGATTTCTCCTTACCAATGGTATTTAGTTTTGTATTTAGCATTCAGTTTCCTAAATGTGAAACTTGCATAAACATTTTATTTCTCCTGCTATATAATAAGCTCCTAATGGGAAGAGACTGCTTTTTTTTTTAAGGAAAATCACATAATGCTTGGCATAGTGCCTTATACTTGGTAGGTATTCAAGCATCTGTTGGATTGAACCAAACAAATGCAAATTATGTGTATTTTGAAACATTCATCCTTTTATTAAGTAACCTGACAAAGCCCTGGCCAGTTTTGCTCAGTGGTTAGAGCATCGGCCTGCAAACCACGGTTCACAGGTTCGAGTCCCACCTAAGGCATGTACCCGAGTTGCAGGCTTGATCCCTGGCCCTGTGCGGAAGGCAACCAACTGATGTGAGACAAATCAATGTCCTCCCCCAACTCCTACTCTCTCTAAAAATCAATGGAAAAATATCCTCAGGTGAGGATTAACAAAAAGAAAAATAAAGAAACAAACAAACAAGTAACCTGACAAATATGTGTAGCATTATCACATAAAAATAAATGTTCTATAAAAAATATATAAAGAAGCCCTAGCCAGTTTGCTCAGTGGTTAGAACGCCAGCCCAAGGACCAAAGAGTCACTGGTTCAATTCCTGTCAAGGGCATGTACCTCAGTTGCAATTCAGTCCCTGGCCCTGGTTGAAGTCATGCTGGAGGCAACTAGTCAATGTGTCTCTCTCACATTGATCTTTTTTCTTTTTTTTTTATCCTCACCCGAGGACATTTTTCCATTTTTTACTCAGATAGAGCGGGAAGGAGAGAGAGGAAGAGAAACATCGATGTGAAAGGGACACATCGAGTGGCCGCTACCCACACGACCCAACCAGGGCCGGGGACAAACTGCAGCCAAGGTACGTGCCCTTAGCGGGAACCGAACCCGGGTCTCTGTGGACCGCAGGCTGATGCTCTAACCGCTGAGCCAAACCGGCCACAGCTGATCTTTTTTCTTTTCTTTTCTTTCTCTCTCCCCCTCTCCCTCCCCCCCCCCCTCACTTCCCCTCTCCCTCCCTTCCATTCTATCTGAAGATAAATGGAAAAATATCCTTGGGTGAGGATTAAACACACACACACACACACACAAAAGTTAATTGAAGGTCCTCAAAAATTATTAGTAATGATTAAAGTTAAACAATATGTCATATTCAAGAGATGGTTGGCATCACCATGAAAAAATTTTAAAGTTTAGGGGACATACCCAACAAATCATATTATTAGCATTTACCTTGACAAGTTTAAGAGAGTAATATTTCCACAAACTAGGAACTTTAATTAAGAACAACCCTCCTCCCAAGCAATTTAAGAATGAATGGGCCTAAGCAGTGGTTAGAGCAGTCAGCCCAGGCGCTGAAGGATGTCTGGTTCAATTCCCGGTAAAGGGCACATGCCTGGGATGCAGGTTCATCACTGCCCTGGCTGGGGCTCATGTAGAAGGCAACCAATCGCCCTGGCTAGTTTGATTCAGCAGTTAGAGTGTCGGCTGGCGGACCAACGGGTAGCGGGATAGATTCCGGTCAAGGGCATGTACCCCTGTTGTGATTCGTGCTGGCTCTGGTGGGAGTCATGCAGGAGGCAACAAGTCTGTGTCCCTCTCACTTCAACGTTTCTCTCTCTCTCCCTCCTCTCCCTCCCACTCTATTTGAAGATAAATGGAAAACTATCCATGGGTGAGGATTAAGAAAAAAAAAAGAAGGCAACCAATCAATGTCTGTCTCTCTGTCTCCCCCTACCCTCCCTCTCTTCCACTCTTTCTATAAATGAATGGAAAAAATATCCTTGGGTGAGAATTAGCAAACAAAAACAAAATAAGAATGAATAGATTCTAAAACAAGCCTCATTTTAGTTCTTAAGTTGGTCTACAGATAGAGGCTAAAAATCTAGATCCACATATAACATGCTAATTGGAAACAAATATTTCTCTTTATACTCATATTCTCTTCAAATTTAGAAGTTGAAAAGCTTAATGTATTCCGCATTAATTACTTTGTAAAGCTTGAATTCAGATACTGGAAACTACTAATATGCTCATTTCTCAAAACCAACTATTGTACTCAACTGCTAAAATAAAAATTATCAGTAGAGAAATGTTCATGTAAATGTGCTGCAGTAAAATACTGATAAGAAGAGAATTGATATACTCTGTATTTCAGGTAAATAGCTTACATTAACAAACTGTCTTTAAAAAACAAACAAACAATGGCTTCTGTCTCTACCTTTAGTGTTACTGAAAACTGCAATAATAAAGTTTCATCCAATAGAGCACAATAGTAAGTACTTTAACAAGGAGGGCAATACATTTTCAATCTCCACAGATAAGAAAGAAAAAAGAAAAATAAGATTCCTTTAGGCTAATCACAAAGAACTTTTCAGTATCAACAGTGAAATGTACTACTAAGGAGGGTTGTAAAACTACTAAAACTTTTAAGAATAATGATTATCTTTATGTAATGAGTAAGAAGAAATCCTGTAGAAAGAAAAGATAAAACTAAATCACAAGGTTCATCTCTTCCAAAATAATGGAGTTCTGCAAAGGAGAACTGAGTATTAATAACCATTTGAAATAGGCAAGATCATAAGGACAACTCATCCCTCCCTTGGGGGAAAAAACACATTAAGCAACTATACAAAAGCACCACCCCCCAACACCAAGTATTTCTATTCTTTAGAAAGGTACCACTACTTAGCTCAGATTTAACAAGAGAAATAGTATTAAAAAGTTACAAAACATTTTTTTTTTTAATTCAGGAAATTTTCTTGGGAGGATTAAAAAACAGCTAACAAAACTACAAAATGGCCCTGGCCGGTTTGGCTCAGTGGTTAGAGCATCAGCCCGTGGACCAGAGTACCGGGTTTGGTTCCGCTAAGGGCAAGTACCTTGGTAGCAGTATGTGCCTGGCCCCGAGGGGTCTTGTGGGTGGCAACCACTCTATGCCTCTCTCACATAGATGTTTCTCTCTCTTCCTCCCTCTCCCCCTCCCACTCTATCTTAAGATAAAAATGCAAAAATGTCCTCGGGAGAGAATAAAAAATAAAAAATGAAAAAAAAAACCTGTAAAATGGATTCAATAAAAGATGCCCTTCTCTTGCTCTGGCCGGTTTGGCTCAGGGGTTAGAGTGTCAACCCGCAGACCAATGAATCACAGGTTCAATTCTGGTCAAGGGCACGTACTGCAGTTGCAGTTCGTCCCCAGCCTTGGTCGGGGTCCTGCGGGAGGCAATCAGTCGATGTGTTCCTCTCTCTCCTTCCTTCTCCCTCTCTCACCCTCCCACTCTACCTGAAGAAAAACAGAAAAATATCCTCAAGTGAGGAATAGAAAAAAAAAAGCTCTTCTCCTCCCCAGTATTTCCATTTTGTTAGTGTAGTGTTAGCCTATAGAGTTTTAATACATCTATGAAGTGAAAAGTACAAGGCTAGTTCCAAAAACATTTTGAGCAAAAAGGTAGTACTAAAAAGTAATTTTAGCCCAGGTGGTGTTGCTCAGTGGTTGAACATCAATCCATGCACTAAGAGGTTGCTGGTTCAATTCCCAGTCAGGGCACATGCCCAGGTTGTGGGCCAAACCCCCAGTGGGGAGCATGCAGGAGGCCATCAATAGATGTTCTCTCTCACTGATGTTTCTATCTCTCTCTCCCTCTCCCTTCCTCTCTCTCTAGAAACAATAAAGAAAAAAATTTAAAATATATATATATAAAAAACATTTTTTGAAAAAACTTAATCACTTTTAAATGTAAATCAGGCAGCATCTTAGATAACTTGGCTAACCTTCTGTATTAAAAATACTATAGGAAAAAGTTAATCACTACTTAATCCAGCCTACTGTCTGTTTATAGACAGCCCACAATCTAAGAATGGCTTTTACAGACAAATATTTGCAATTGATTTGATGAGAGAACTCTAAACCCCAATTAAGTTAAATGTTATCTCCCCCAACCCCACAAAAGTAAAAGAATACCACACTGCTCACTAGTAGGCCTATATTTCAAAATATTATACTCAATTCAAAATATTTTGTATTTCATCAATAAAAAATCCATAGACATTTTTTTCTCTTTTTGTGAAAGTACTAGTACATCCTTACCTAAGATCTTCAATTCTGTCTCCTAGACCACAAAGCCTAAAGTATTTACTACCTGGTCCTTTACAGAAAAAGCTTGCTGAATTCAGGCATAGATTAAATAATGGAGTCGACAGGTAAAGATATGAAAGATTTAATTCTGTAGCCTAATCTGCCACCCTATTCCTAATTATTTAGGTGCTTAATAAGTTGCACCTATTAAATGCAATTTGCTCTCTCTCTCTCTAGATTCAGGAACATTACCAGAAGACAAATAGTTTTAACCCTTCAACCCTTCAAATTCCACCTAGATATATTGCCAATGCTAAGTATGCCTTGCTATAGAAAACATGATGCTTACTTAGTAACCAGTAGGAGTCTCCAAAAGTGACTCCAAAGGAGTTTAGTTTAAAAGTCTAGCCCTGGATGGTTCAGCTTGGCAGTTAAGAGCATTGGCCCTTGGACCAAAGAGTCCAGGCTCTGCCTCATAGATGTTTCTCTCTCTCTCCCCCTCCCTCCTTCCCACTTTGTCTGAGAGTAAATGGAAAAATATCCTCAGGCGAGGATTAAAAAAATAAGAAAAATCTATTGAGATAGCTTAATTGTTTCACCAAGTCAGGACAATACCAAATGCTTAGTAAAAAAGTTCTTTCCTTTAAATTTAAAGTTGTTCACTTGATATGCTTAATAAATAACCCTGCATGTAGGACAAGAAACTAGCATTCAATTATATAGATTAAATAAAATATTAAGTATTACAAAGCAAATATAAGTTCCGACACTTCTAGACTTCACTTTAAGACTAAATGACTAAGACTTCTTGTTTTTTAAGGACATTCATCCCAGTATCTTCAAAAGCATTTTCTGGCCCTGGCTGGGTAGGTCAGTTGATTAGAGAGCATTGTTCCAATAATGTCAAGGTTGCAGGTTCGATCCCCAGTCAGGACACATACAAGAATCAATCAATGAATGTATAACTAAGTGGAACGATAAACTGATGTTTCTCCATCTCTAGCTCCCTTCCCCTCTCTCTCTCTAATCAATGAATAAAAAAATTTTTTTAAAGCATTTCCACTTTAGTAAGACCACCATCAAAGATATAAAATAAGACTTTCTGAACCTATCTATCATTATAGAAGCAAATTCTACACTGTTAGAACATATAAGAAATATTAAAAAATTAAGTTTATATAGCAAAGGTAGTTACTGTGAGCCCTCTGGTAAATATTTTAATCCTCAACTTCTACCAAACTTGAAAATAACTAGTAGCACAGTGAAAACATAAGTCAGTAAAATAATTTCATTTACTCAATACTAAATAATTTCTATTAGGAAAAAGATGGTAATAAACTGAAATGTACAAAAATGATATTAAATGTATTAATATCACTAAAATGATCACTTTGCAAACAATTCAACCTGCCACTCTTTTACCTAAATTTTCATATTTATTTATTTTTTAATTAGAAACAGTACTTGAAAACAAAACTTTAACATGGTCTGGTTAACTTGAAATAAGACTCATAAAATGTACCTTTTTATGTTTGTTCGGGAGTTTCGATGAGACATGTAAGTAAGAGTTCTGTGTAAAAATATGGGCTGTAAAAAAAGTATTAAAAATATTAAAATTAAATGGGTTAAATTCTAAGAAAAAAGTTGTATTGATGCATTTTGTTGATGACTTACCGCTATAAGATTTCGAGTTCGAAGAAATCTATAGATCTGCGTTGGTTCTAGGTAACAAAAAACAAAACCCAAATATTATCTAAATATAATTACCCAAGCTGTCAAGAAAATACCAACCTATATTCCATGTTATAATCAATATAAACTAGTCATGTGTTATGAAAATCACATACTGCATATTTACATCAAGAAAATTAGTATACACACTAAGATCAAAAGACAGTGGGATTGCCCTGGCTGGTTTGGTTCAGCGGTTAGACCATCGGCCCTCGGACCAGAAAGGCCTGGGTTCAGTTCCCGCTAAGGGCACTTACCTTGGTTGCAGTTTGTCCCCAGCCCTGGCTGGGGTCGTGTGGGTGGCAACCACTCAATGTGTCTCTCTCACATCGATGTTTCTCTCTCTCCCTCTATCTCTCCCTCCCTCTCTATCTGAAGATACATGCAAAAAAAAAAAAAAAAGTCCTTGGGTGAGGATAAAAAAATATAAAAGACAGTGGGATTGCCCTGGCCGGTTTGGCTCAGCAGTGAGTGTCAGCCTGTGGTCCCGAGAGACCCAGGTTCGGTTCCCGCTAAGGGCACGTACCTCGGTTGCAGGTTGTCCCCAGCCCTGGTTGGGTTGTGCGGGTGGTGGCTACTCAATGTGTCCCTTTCACGTCGATGTTTCTCTCTCTCTCTGTCCCACTCTATCTGAACAAAATATCAAAAAAAAATGTCCTTGGGTGAGGATTAAAAAAAAAACAACAGAAAAAAGACAGTGGGATCTATGGCATACATTCACAAAATTCATCTACATTTATTTGAAATTTAAGATACTCCACAATCTTGTTCTTAACCCTCACATTTCTAAGGTAGGTACTAACCTGTATGCAGAACTGAAAAGTAGTTACTTTCATTTAATTTAGCTAATTTAAACCATTTATAACCCATCCTCTTCCAAAAAGTAGCTGAAATGAGGTAGCTGGATTCAGCAAAAGAACTCTTTATTGATGCCAAATAAAAATGAAATTTCCACTTTTTGATCAGTTTTTTAAAAAATTCATAGTCAGCCAAAACAAAAAACTGCTTCCTACATGTCCTAATACAGATAAGTCAGTAACAAAGAAATCTGAAACACAAATTGTTTCAATTTTTCAATGAATATTTCCAGTTATAGTTCAAGTTTTTACCTATTTTGCTCAATGTAAATATTATCTCAACATATAAATACTACCTCAACACATACATATTTTTTTCTTCTCTTTATTGATTTTAGACAGAGAGGAAGAGAGGGAGAGAGAGAGAAACATCAATGAGAGAGAACATCGACTGGTGGCCTCCTGCATGCCCCCACTGGGGATTTGGCCCACAACCTGGGCATGTGCCCTGACCAGAAATCGGACCGGCAACCTCTTGGTGCATGGGCCGACACTCAACCGTTGAGCCACACTGGCCAGGCTCGACACATATATATATATTTTTTTATCCTCACCCGAGGACATTTTTCCATTTTTTGTTCAGATAGAGTGAGAGGAAGAGAGAGAAATATCGACGTGAAAGGGACACATCGAGAGGCTGCCACCCGCATGACCCAACCAGGGCCAGGGGACAAACTGCAACCGAGGTACGTGCCCTTAGCGGGAACCGAACCCGGGTCTCTCTGGACCTCAGGCCGACGCTCCAACCGCTGAGCCAAACCGGCCAGGGCTCAACACATATTTTTTAAGTAATAGATTACTAGAAGGTTTTTAATGCTGAGTTTAGTTAAAATTTAATTTGTTACAAAGGGCTCAGGTTGTAGATAGAAAATATATCATACAGAATACTATCATATCAGTTACGTTACTGACCTATTATTATGTTTCTTTAAATAAAGCAGTATCAAAATGAACTAAATATGACTATATCATTAAATATACCAAAACTTTTAAATATTTTTAAAATGGACTTTGGAGAGAGAAAGGAAGGAAGAGAGAACATTTAAACTTCCCTGAAACTAAGGTCAATATTACAGAAGAATCAAGTTGTTTTGTGGCCAAATCTAGTTCTTAATGACAGTTCACTTCTCCATGGTAGCCTCAACAGAAAACAAAATAGCTAACACTTTCTTGGAGGACTTATCTTCTCCTAACATTTAGAAACATTTTTAAAAAATATCCACTTAATCTTGTTAGTTTAGTTTGTTCTAAATAAACTAAAAGACGAGATATTTTAGAAGGGGTACAAACATGCATGTTTATTGTCATGAATGCGCTTCAGTTCTCCAGCATATTTCCAATTTAAATCATCTCTAGTTTTTGAAAATATATTAAGCAAAAGTAAAAATAATATGAATCTCTCTTAAGGTTCAATATTCGTTTCAATAAACTAAAATTCCTTGTGTTAAATTCCAATTAGAATTTCATGAAGCACTAATGAGAGAATGAAAGAAGGGTATTACACAATGTAATACGCCTTTCCCAGTACAGCTGATACCATGCCCTTAACATATGCCACGGAAAAATTGTAAATAAAGACATTCACCGGTAGAGCTGAGTTTATTCAAGTTTGTGTAAGATATTTAGTACTAAAGATCATCCCAATTATAACATCCACACAAAAGGAAAAAGGAAACCAGTCAGGATATAACATTCATTAAAAGAACAGTTGAAATCATTTACAGTTATGGTGTTTTTAAAAAAATAAATTCTATTGTTTGTTTCGGACAGCTTGTCCCCCTTTCCGAACTGAGCCCCAGTTTTCCCCTCGACGCAGACCCTGGAACAGAAATTGACATACGGACGTCCCGGAATTAAACCGGGCAGATTTCCGCGACCGACTCAAGGTGAGTCACACGCTGCACCATTACCTGTCTCAGTTTGTGTACCCACGAAATGGGTGCACATTTGGAAGGTTTAAAGCACCAAAGATGCCCTGTTACTATGCAGCACCGAGTTGGTGCGAGGGCGACTCCGACTGACGACAATTCGGCCGAATGTGACCGCATTCTCCCCAGTACAGGCTGAGCTGGCTCCCCAAAGCCCCAGGCGAAACCCTCGTACTTCTGGAGCGCGGAAGGCACGGAGAAGGCGAGGGCCGGCCCGGGCTGCGACTGCGGGTCCGAGACCGCACGGACCCGCGGCCAACGGCAGCCTCCTCGGAAGGAAGCCTGCTCCTAACGCGAGGCCCCACCGCTCACCTCCCGGCTCGATCTTCGGGGAGTCAAGCCCCTCACCTGGACTTCCTACCCCACTTTCCCCAAAGCCCCGGACTTCGGGCCCCCTGGAGCCGTACTCCCCGAAGGGGGAACAGCTCCCTCAACAATTCCTCCCTCCACTCCCAGATCAAGTCGAGTCCCGGCGAGGAGGGGGGCCCAGCCCGAGTGTCCCGACCCCCGAATGCCGGAAGAGTGGGTATCCCTGCCCTCAGAGCCTCAAACGCACTCACTCTCAAAGGCCTGGAGGAAAAGCTCGTGGTCAGCCTGGACGTGCTCCATTTTCGGCTTCTTCACCGGTAACACCGCAGCCCCCGCCGCCGCCGCCGCCGCCGCCGCCGCCGCGGAGGAGGAGGAGGCCGAGTAACTGCCGCCGCCTCCACAGCCCCCGCCGCCGGATTTGCCGCCCGACGCCGTCGCCGCCGCCACCGCCGCCGAACCCCCGAAGCCGCCTCCCCCGGACCCCGCGCTGGGCCCCGAGCCGCCCCCTCCCCCACCGCCGTGCTTCTGAGGCGCCATCGCGGTTCCTGCCTCCTCCCCCGCCAGCTACCCGCCGGGCGGCCCCGGAGAGTAAGCGCCGGCAATACCAACCGCTCGTCCCAGCAGGCTCCGGCGGACCGAGGGGGGAAGGAGGAGAGAGGGGAGGAGAGGGGAAGGGAAGGGAGGAGGAGAGGAGGGAAGGAGGGAGGAAAAAAAAAAAAGTGTCTCCTCCAGAGAGCCCCGCTCCGCTCCGGAGGCCGCTCACCCTAGCCTGGCCTGGCTCCGCCCACTTCCCCCGCCCAGCGTTCTGATTGGCCGGCGGGAGCGCGCGCCGCCCGGCCGCCCAGCCCGTTGGCCCGCGGATTCCCCCGTCAGTCACGCGGAGGCGCTTCTCGCGGAGGCGCGGCTTGGTTGGCCCGTGCGCGCTGCCGACCGCGGGCCCGGCCGCCTCTTTGAACTGAATTCGCGGGAAAATTAGGGGTCGGAGCGGCCTTCCTGCTGGCCCCGGTGCATTGTGGGGAGAGAGGGACCCAGCGAGCCGCTTAGGGAGCGGTTTCTCGCCTTCTGAGCGTCGTCAGTCACCGCCCCCAGGGGGTACAGGACCCCTGATGGGAGGCGGGCCTCCGAGAAACTAGGGGTCAGGGGCCTGTTAAGTGAACTGGGACCCATTACTGATCATCGAGTCTCTAACTTCATGGGAAGGGGCCTGCCAGGGAGTTGGGTCGCTTCTAGTTTGAGGGGCTCCCGGGGTGGGGCGAGTCCCCCTGTCCCCTCGTCACCACGTGCCTCCAGCCACCCATGTCCGAATCCCACCCAGCAAAGCACTTGAAGACTGGGGGCCGCCGGGGGTTTGTGGCGGCTGTCCTGGGGTGTGACCGGGCTCCACCGAAGGAAGCGATTTCCATGTGACAGGACTGTCCTATAGAGCGAGGGAACGATTTTCGGTAGGGCCGAGGGTCTCGATGGGTGCTGAGGGGTCGTGGCTTCTCGACGTGCTGGAAGAAACGCCGAGGCATTCTACTCCCACCGTCAGACAGACGCCAGAGGAGGTCACAGGGACACGCTGACTCCTGAGCCGCGCACCGCCTTCTTGGGAACCGACGTCTGTCGGCTCAGAAACTCGAGGGGGATCCTGTTCGGCGGGTATTGCTTAAAAAGATGCACAGGCCCGACTCCGGCTTCTGGCCGAGGCAGGTTTGGGGTTGAGCTGGTACACTTAGAGATTTTAATTTTAGGCTGGGCAAAGGTTATCTCTAAGCGTGTTTTTCCAATTCAAATCCCGTGATCTAATATTACATTAAAATGGAACACTGCCTTCCAAAACCCCAATCTATAAACGCAGAACCCTCTCATCCTTTCAATAACATTTTCCAGACTGTTTGCTTTGGTCTTGATAGTTCTCTTCAAAACACTTTACAAAACAAGTGTCTTGGGAATGGTTATTCAAATTGTTTGCAAAACTAGTATCTTTGGAGTGGTGATTTAAATATCTAAAATACTGATTTTATCAAAGCCGTTTGCTACTTGAGAAAGTGAACTCCAGCCCTGGCTGGTTGGGCTCAGCGGTTAGATCTGCCTGGGAACTAAGGGTCGTGTGTTCCCCGGGTCAAGGACACATACCTGGGTTGCAGGGTTGGATCCCCACCCCTGCTTGTGTTGTTCTGGAGGCATTAATAACAACAACAACAACAACAAAAAGTGAACTCTACAAATGATGCATTTAATATAAAATGTGGCATTTCAGGAATAGATCAGAAATTAGGTAGACCTGTTGCTGATTTTTTGTCGGACAAAACATTCAGAATGCTCTTTTGCTATATTATTTGTACATACTGTTTGTTATCTTCTTTGTATATATTATCTGTACTGTTTTTTGGGTTTTTTTGGTTTTTTTTTTTTTTGTTTTCCCCCAACAAAAAGTGTTTTTTCAGATTTCTGAAAAAAGCCTTCTCTGATTTCATGCCACCCCACAGAGGCTTATGGGGTTTTAGATCTTGGTAAACTGCTGGTCTTTAGCTTTACTGGGTTAGAAAATAATGTTTCATCAATTCAGTCAGGATCTGGAGAATTAAATCATACTAAGCAGTTCACAAAATACCCAGTTATAAGCCAGGATGTTAATTTATTAATTAACAGTAAATATAACTGGCAAAGTTACAGTGTTCGTCATTTATACAGGGTCCTCCCTTCTGGAAAGAATGTGGGGGAACAGGTACAGTCAAAGAAAAAGACCAACTTTCAGGTTATCATAAATCTGATAAACAGAGAAGGAGTGAAGGAAGTTGGAAGGTCCTTAAAAGGTAGTCCTTTTGTTACTGGTTACACCAGGATGAGACCTCAGTTCTTGTTTTCTTGAAGGAAAGATTTCAATCAAGAGACAAAGTGTAGAAAAGCAAGCAAGAATTTATTGGCCACAGCAGAAACATTTATGACAGTGAAACTAGGAAGGGCATAGGAGAAATAGTTGGGCTGCCTTGGCTCACTGGAAGTCAGAGAAAAGGGGGGCTTGGAGACAGTTTCAGGGGTTTAGCCCAGGACGAGCTGCCGCTACCAGTTGCTCCCCTGGTTGCAAGTCTCATGGGGTCCCTTGGAATTTAGGAGAGGCGTGCCTATGGGGGAAGAAAGTGGGTGGGGAGGCTTGGGTGTGCTCCTGGGAAGGAGAGTTGCTGGGACCTTCCTTTTAAGGGGTTTTAAAGGCTGGGCATTTAGGGGAGGTCTTAGAGGAGAATCAGTAGAATATTCATCAACTTTATGCTGCTGTACCAAAATGAAATATGCTCTCTTAATTTGTCTGTCCTTGGGTGTGGTTGGTAAATGGCACTTAATTGAATTTCTGTTATCTGTCACCCTAAAAGGGTGATTTCAGTTATTTACCCTCTGGTTGGGGAGGAGAAGTGCAAACCATTTACTCGTTTTTTCTTTAAATCTTCACCCAAGGACATTTTTTCTATTTATCTTCAGATAGAGTGGGAGGGAGAGAGAGAGAAACATCGACTGGTTGCCTCCCGCATGACCCTGACCAGAGCCGGGGACAAACTGCAACAGAGGTGTGTGCCCTTGGCCGAAATAGAACCCGAGACTCACTGGTTGGAGGGCTGATGCCAAACCAGCCAGGGCAAACCGTTTACTCTTAATGTCCTTAGTTTAGGGAAGATAGGATTTGCTAGGTGGCTGCAAACTGCTGTTTAACTATTTGTCTTAATTTCCCTATTCCACCTCTCCTGGGATTTTCCTAGCTTCGTACTGTTCTATAACACTTTCAGAACACCATGGTGGCAACTGGGCTTTCAGCATGGGCATGGTTTTAGTACAGTAGCTAACTAGTACTGATCATGAGGAAGCCAACCGTGCTCTGGGAAAGGCAGAGAAGCAAATTCTCACTTTTTGTATTCTACTTTGTCTAGAATGTATGTAAAGCACTAAAAACAAAACAAAAAAAACCCACCTTATTACCTCAGGCACATAAGTGAGGTGTTGTCTTGGTTACATTACAGTCTTCTTAATCAGATTTTGTTCTATAGGTAAAACATGTACATCATCTCAGGGTTGGTCACTTCTGTGGCCAGCTTATTTATTTTGCGTTGTTATTTCTAAGTTTGGCGTGGCAACAGTTATGGAGACTTGTGGCACCAATTCACATGTCCCTTACCTCGCATTGAATTTGAATTGCTTTCTAGGGTTTTGTTTGTTTTTGCCTCCATGCCGTAACTGAAATTGATAAACTCCTATATTTCTTAGCACAGGACTAGATATGTGTTCATGGAAAAAAAAGAATAGCAATTATTTTAACCTTTGGAGTTATCAATATGTTTTTACATCTATGTATATTATCTTACTTTGTCATAGTAATCCTTTGAAACTGGCATTATTTTCATTTAACAGATGTGAAAATAGCCTCAGAGAGGTTAAGTCTCTTGCTCATTTAGTGGCAGAGCTGTGACTTTGACCCAGGTTTTTTAATTCCCAATTCCTATGCACTTTTGCAATCGGAATAAAGTTATCCTTAGGACTTCAAGAACACTGTTTTTAAGTTTGTTTTTAAAATGAGGACCATCTTCTCTTACAAAAAAATAAATCAGCCCTGTCTGGTTTGGCTCAGCGGTTGGAGCATTGGCCTGCGGACCAGAGAGTACTGGGTTTGGTTCCCGCTACAGGCACGTACCAAAGGGGGGGAAATCATTTTGTGCTCCTCCCAATTGTGCACTCTTATTAGTGCCCCCACTTTGCCTTTCACAGGCTTCTGTGGTAGGATTTTTTACGTTTCTCGTGGCATGGACCCCTTTGACAGTCTGATGAAAACTATGGACCACTTCTTTTAAACATGCACAATTATAATAAAATATCATTACCAAAATAGTAAAAAATAAAATTGTGATGTAGTAGTATAGGTGCTTCTTTTTTAATGTACCAAGTGAGCTCTAGCAGCAGATCAGTCTAATGACTATCATAATTTCAAAGTAGTGATAAGAGCAAATAATATTTTGAGATACCTGCAAGAACTGTAACGTGACATGGAAATATCTGTAATTTATCTTGGAAATAATGCCACAGGCGCTGCTAACACTACTGTGATGCATTGCCTATATTAATAGTTGAAGGAAATGCTAAATTTCAGTTGGAAGTTAATGTAAATAAAGATTTAATTTTTTCTCATCTAAGTTCATGCACTCCCTGAATCAAATTGAAGTTAACAACCCCTTCATTATAACACCAAGTCTTTTTCTTTCTACTTCACTGTGAGTTCCTGAGGGCAGGGATGATGGGTGATTTGCTTTAGTAACTAAAGTGTCTATCACTGTACCTGGCATAGAATAGGGGTTCATCCAATGAATTTTGAAGAATAAGGGCACCAGTGCACAAATATAAATAATTATAATAATTATTGAGTGCTTACTATGTACCAGGCAGTATTTTAGGTTTTTAACATTAAAAAACATTTTTTTTCTTTATTGATTTTAGAGAGAGAAGAAGGGAGAAGGAGAGAGTGAGACAGAAGCATCAATGTAAGAAAAACACATTGATTGGTTGCCTCCTGCATGACCCCAACCAGGGCCGGGAATTGAACCACAGCAAAGGTACATGCCCTTGACTGGGAATCAAACCGGAGACTCTTTGGTCCTCAGGCCGACCCTCCAACCGCTGAGCCAAACTGGCCAGGGCTGATGTAGGTAACTTTTATTATTCCCATTTCATAGGGGAAGAAACAAAGGCAAGACTTGTTAAGTAACTTGCACAAGGTAAGTAATGGAG